GTGGAGCCGGGTCTCCAGAAGGGACTGTGTGATCCAGCCCCCATGGGATCAGCGGGAAGCAGGGGCTCCCACGGGGCCCGTACAACCCAGCTGCCCACAACACCAGAGGGGAGCCAGGGCTCCAGCGAGGCCTGTGCAACACAGCTGCCCACGGCACGGGCAGGGAGCGTGACTCCAACAGGGCCTGCGCTATACAGCTACAGGGGGCACCAGCCACCAGCTGGGAACACAGCTCCAGAGGGGCCCACGTGACCCAGCAGCAGCACCTACCAGGACACACCAGTACCAGGCCCCAGTAGTCAGTCCTCCAGGATCCACAGCAGGCAAGAGGCGACACGCAACAAAACAGTCTGGGAGGCACAGTAGCCTTATTTGATATACAGTGAGCTGCCTACACATCTGATCTTTATTATTTCCATCCTTCTACTAACTCTGGGTTTTTCTTTGTGTTCTCTTTCTAAATCTTTAAGTTGTAGGGATAGTTTACTAGAAATTTTTCTTGTTTCTTGTAGTTCTTACGAAGTTGTTTGAACACCCTTAAAACCATTGCTTTGAATTCTTTATCTGACAAATCGCTTGCTTCCAATTCATGTAGTTCCTTTTCTGGTGATTCTTCCTTTTCTTTCGTTTGGGGGTTGTTTCTTTTCCTCACCCTTGTAGCAGGCTGGTAGCTCCAGGCCAGGTGAGGCATGTTGGGATGTGTAGGCAGGTCGGTATGTATCAGATAAGACTGCAGTGCCTCCCAGACTATTCTGGGGCATGGCGCCTCTTGTCTGCTGTGGGTCTGAAGGGTTGACAACTGGTGGCGAGTGTTGGACTGTCGTGGTAGGTGCTGCTGGAGTGTGTGGGTCCTCAGGTACCACTGCCGCCTGGTGGGGCCCAGCCCCTGATCAGTGACTGCTGATGCTGCTGGGGGCAAGTCTCAGCTCCTGGTTTGTCACGCAAACATTAAGTCGGCAAGATTAAAGCAGATTCTCTTTAGTCACAGGAACTGAAGACTGATAATTCATGCGCTCTCAGCGGTTTGATCTCTTCTATCTCTGGTGTCTGTGATCTAAGAATCACTTTGACCACAGTGATTCTTTCCTGTCATGGAGTACTGCTAACTTACAGAGCCATGCCACTGCTGATACCTGCCCATTCCCGTGTCACAGGTACACGGGGCAGGGCCAGAGGCTGCAGTCCACGGGTCACAGCCAGTCCACTGCCTTGTTTTCTTTTATTTTTCAATTACATTTGACATTCAGTACTATTTTTATTAGCTTCAGGTGTACAGCATAGGGGTTAGATAATCATATATATAATTTACAGTGATCCCCCTCCCATTATTTTAAGTACCCACCTGATGCCATAGTCAGTTATTTCATTATTGACTATATTCTTTTTTTTATTTTTTTTTTATCCTCACCCGAGGATATTTTTCCATTTTTTGTACAGATAGAGTGGGAGGGAGAAAGAGGAAGAGAGAGAGAGAGAAACATCGATGTGAAGGGACACATCGAGTGGCCGCCACCCGCACGACCAACCAGGGCCGGGGACAAACTGCAACCGAAGTACGTGCCCTCAGCGGGAACTGAACCCGGGTCTCTCCGGACCGCAGGCCGACGCTCTAACCGCTGAGCCAAACCGGCCAGGGCTATTGACTATATTCTTTATGCTGTACTTTGCATCCCTGTGACTGTTTTGTAACCACCAATTTGTACTTCTTTTTTTTTTTTTATTCTCACCCGAGGACATTTTTCCACTTTTTGTTCAGATAGAATGGAAGGGAGAGAGAGGAAGAGAGAGAGAGAGAGAGAAAGAGAGAGAGAAACATCGACATGAAAGGGACACATCGAGTGGCTGCCTCCCACACGACCCAACCAGGGCCGGGGACAAACTGCAACCGAGGTACGTGCCCTTAGCGGGAACTGAACCCCAGTCTTTCTTGACCGCAGGCCGATGCTCTCACCGCTGAGCCAAACTGGCCAGGGCCCAATTTGTACTTCTTTATCCCTCCTCCCTTTTCACCCAGTGCCCCAACCCCTCTCCCCTCTGGAAATCATCAGTTTGTTCTCTGTATCTGTCTCTTTCTGTTTTGTTTGTTCCTTTATGTTCTTTAGATTCTGCATATAAGCGAAATCATATGGTATCTGTCTGTCTTTGTCTGACCAGTTTCACTTAGCATGATACCCTCTCTAGTTCCATCCATGCTGCCACAAATGGTAAGATTTTATTCTTTTTATGGTCAAGTAATATTCCATCAAATAAATGTACCACCACTTTTTTATCCACTATGTTTTGATAGTCACTTGGGTTGCTTCCATATCTTGGTTATTGTAAATAATGCTGCAGTGAACATAGGGGTGTGCCTATATCTTTTCAAATTAGTGTTTTGGTTCCTTCGGATATATAACCAGATGTGGAATCGCTGGGTCATTAGGCAGTTCTATTTTTAGTTTTTTGAGGACCCTCCATACTGTTTTCCATGGTGGCTGCACCAGTTGGCATTCCCACTAACAGGGCACAAGAGCTTCCTTTTTACCACCTCCTTAGGTGGCTGTGCATGGTGGCTGCCTCTCGGTGTGTGTGTCTGTGTATCCGGTACATCTGCTCTGTCTCCCAGCCTTGGCAGGGTGGTGTTAGGTAGTTGGTATCCTGTGGGGCCCAGTGGCACAGTCTCCCTGATCCCCTGAACCGGTACTCCAGGGGTGTCCCGTGTGTGTGTTGTGTGCCCTCTTGTTGTAATTGAGCCTCGATTGCTATTGGCACATCCGTGGGTGGGGTTGGTTCTCAGGCTGGCTGGGTGTGAGGACTGGCCACACCGCGGTGTGGGAGCCGCTGTGCAGGGGCTGACCGCACGAAGCAGAACCAGCCCGAGCAGGGTCTGGGGCCTGCCGATATCTCCCTTTGGGTGTGATGCCTGTGGAGCTACTCAGTTTGTTCTCTGTTGCGGTCTAAAGCCAGCCACTGGTTCTGGGGCCTTTGGGGAGGGACTGCAGGTCAGGTCAGTGACATACCTGCCTATGGTCAGCCCTGGACTACCTATTAGGAGTTACAAAGTGGTTACATAGCTAGTAGCTGCCTGTGCTGGGCCTGGGTGTGCACGGGAGGGGCCGGCTGTCACCAGTCCTGGTCTGCGGCAGGTCAGAAAAAGGCCCAAAGCACCCAGACTCGCTGCCACCTGCTGACTGCCCGTTAGGCTCAGCCACTGAAAGAGTCTCGAGCGAATGTGAGTTGCATGAGGCGGGTTCTCAGGGATTCGACAGGAAAGGGGGGTGGTTAGTATAGATTTAAACTTTGTGCCTATGCCGGGTCTGAGGCCACTCGGCAGAAGTCTCACGGCACACTAAGGCCACCCCCACCTGCCGGGGGCCTGTGGACCTCGGCCGCGTCTCAGGGCGTCGTCAGAGTGGGCCTAGTAGAGTTCCGCGGGCTAAAGCAGGTGAAGATCTGAACATGCGGAGGGAGGGGAATGGTGGCCCCTCTTGGGCATGCGGGAAGACCGCCCTCACCCCAGAGCCACAAAACTTGGCTTCTCCCTGTGTGTTTCTGGAATTCCCCAAGCCTGCCTGGAATTCTTTGGGAGTTTTCTAAGCAAGACTGCAATGCGGGCCCAGGCTGGTGGTTGTGGCAGAGCCTCCCCCAGTAGTGAGCTTGGGGGGCGGGGCCTCAAGGAGTGCTCAGGGTGGAAGCTAGTGTAGCTCCAGAGGCTAATGCTTTGTGGGGGGAGTGCTTGACCCAGGAAAGATGGCATCCTTGGGCAGTGTGGGAGCAGGACTCAACACAGGGACGTTGGCAGCTGTTCCTCCAGCCCTCTCCCGGAAGCCACACAACTTAGCCTCTCCCCGTGTGACTCTGGCACCCCCTGAGCTGCAGTTCCTCCACTGGAGCCCAGGGCGGGTGCCTGCATGCAAGGGCTTGTGTGCACTGTCTCTTTAAGAGGATGCCTGGGTTTCCAGCAGCCTCCCCCGGGCTGATTTGCGTAGACAGATACTTTGTGGGCCCCTCTACTTGGCACTGGTGCTCTGGGCTGGCAGCCCCGTGTGGGTTTGAGACCCCTTGTTCTACAGTGGGGGCCTCTGCAGCTGAGATACCCTCCGAACAGGGGTTTTCAAACTGCTAGAGCAAGTTTATTAAGTTCCAGAGGCACCTTGGAGCTTAGGTGAGAGGAAGGTAAAGGCAACGCACCTGGGGGAAGTAGGGGGATGGGAAAGGTGTGGGTGTGGACTCTCAGTGGCTGCGTGTGGGTGTGGGGCCAGACCAGCTCACATCTGCACCCCTCCCACCAGTCTCCTGGCTCCTTGTGCAGCGCTTTAGCTATGACTGCTGTTCGGCTAGTCCTCAGATGGCTATCTCGGTCTTCTGTAATTCGGTTGTAATTTTGATGTGGTCAAGGGAAGTGAATGCAGCTTCCACCTACACCGCCATCTCGGTCCGAATCCACTGCCGATTTCTCTCTACGGCCTATGAGCTATTAATGGTTATTACATTTTTATGGCATTGCATAAGATCAATCATTGTATAAATCGAGTTTTAGGAAAATCAAAATTCAGTATCCATAAACTTGCATTGAAACAGCCGAGATACTTCATGTATATATTGTCTGGGGATAGTTTCCCACCACGGGAGCAGAGTGAATAGCTGGGACAGCCCTCATGGGCTCTGGATCTGTACAGAAAAAGTTCACCAACCCCTGGCCTGATAGTCTGTGCTGTTTACTTAGAGGTGAAACTGTTCTTAGGGTTATTCTGTAACTAAATAGTCCTAACTATTTCTAGTCATTACAGTTGATAGGCTTAGCTGTTACTCTGTGGCTACCTCAATATCATTTCATTCATGTATTTTTCAGCCAAGAAATAAACTCAACAAACACTTCTTGGAAGTGTTTATGTGTCTCTAGTAGAGTTAACATATTTTTCAGAAAATAAGTTGTTTTCCTAAGTTTAATGGGATCAAACACTGAATGCTGGTGAATCAACAAAAAAAATGAATCAGTCTCTTTAAATAAAAAAGCCATACATTTATTGCAAATCTAGAAGTACCAGAATGTCCCTAGTACAGAACAAATTAGCAATCCTGTTTTAAATCTTCTTCCAAACATTTAAAACCTTGATTATTGACAAACTGAAATCGGCATACATGTTTCTCATGCGGTTAACAGAATGGACAGAGAGCACACAGCTCAGAAGTCAGTTATAAATATTAAACTATATTTAACATTCATAGTAAAAATCGTTATAAAGTGCTGAAGTCATGTAAGTCTGCAACACTGTCACAAGCTCAGTCCTTTTCAAGCAGTGACAGCGATCTGTTACATCCACCTTGTTTTAGGTGTGTCTTTTTTTGATGGACACTGTGTCACTTCCTGTGCCACCCCCCCCAAAGATTTACAGATTGTCCTATTTCTATGGCTGATAAAATTCTGTACAAAATATAGCAGGTGGTGTTGAACTATGCCACTTCCATTTCAGTGCAGAGAAATATTCAAGCTTTGTGTACCTGTAACCAAACTAGGCTTGTTATATTGTTTCCCCCTGAGTTGTCATAAATTAACAGTGAAGATGAATAAGGATGGAGCAGCGAGCAATGACCATCACCTGTAGAGTGAGATTCAGTACACAGGAGTAGTAACCCACTTGTTATCCTCACACGTGCCTTCTTTACAGAAAATGGCTAAAATGAGAAATACTCTACATATAGTGTAACTGAAAAAAAAAAAAATCAACCCAATGATAAGTTAACCTGAAAACTCTGGCAACTTAGAGCAATCAAAGTTTATACAAGATGTAAATTGCAACCTGTTACTCATGATGGTAAAATAAAGTCCCTGCTGCCCCATGTGCAATACAGAAATGCTTCAGCAGTTAGATGGTTTTCTTGTTAAAATCAGAAATGCTTCAACAATTCGATGAAATATAATTCTGATCAAAGAAGATCCTCAAGTATTCTTAGGTAATAAAACATTATTTTAAAATGCTAAGGCAATTTGCTATTCATTCTTTTCCCACCATAAATAGCATGTTGCCTTTAATCAAATTGAAGAATCATTACAACTTGGCCTTATGGAGTAACTTTACTAGAGAAGTAGTAATTCTTTGAGGCCTTTAAAGGATTACAGAAGGGAGGTAAAAATGATGTTTATGTCCCAGATTATATTTCTTTTGACTACTTTAATCATCCTAGAATAACTTAATAATAAATAGTGGTTTAAATTAAAGACACTACAATCACATATTTCTGAATAATTAAAAGCAACAGGAAATGCATTTTTGAATGCTATTCTTTATATTCTGTGTGAAATACTTCTGGTAATGACTGGCTATAAAAAGAAGTGGGGATCTTCACATTCATGAGTTTCAAGTTTATATGTAGATATATAGATTCCCACATATTAGCCAAATGTTTGGTCTTAAAGTGTACGTCATTCCACTGAATATTTGGGAAATGAAGAGGCTATACGTTTTTAATGCAAACCTCTGTATTTTTCAAAGGGTTTTAAAGAATGTGCTCATATCTCTGAAACTGAGGAATTTTACGAGTGATTTAAGATTTTTTTTTTGAATGGCCAATTTCAATGACCTGGGCTCGCTATTGTTTGACAGTACAGCAGTTTATATATGTGAGAGCTCTTAAAACCACTTCTCCGTTTATGTCACTATTTTCAAATCGGAATGTGAACCACAGTCCTTCTGTGTGTCTTTGTATTGCTACGGAATACAGCCGGATTTAGGTATGGAAGAATATTTGGTTGTTTTTGTTTTGGCTTAAAGAACAAGCGAAAAGGAAAACTTAAACATCGAGAAGAGGATGTTGGTAGTGGTGTTCGTATGTACATTCCCTCTGAAATGTCGTTTTGAAGATGGGTGCCGTGGTTAGCTCCTCTGCACCACTGTGTCCCCCAGACAGCCCCGCCCAGCCAGCCAGCAGGGTGGCTGCTGTTAGAGGAAAGCCGTCATTCTGGCTCCGTTTTCATAGGAACTTTATGCTCGTTTTTCCCAAGGTCCATTTCAAGGAAGTCCTCAGGTGTGTCCTGTACAGCTCTCCCGTGGTAACTCTCGGCCTTCCCTTCACCGGCACGAGGGTGCCGGCACAGTCCCCTTTTACACGGTCGCACGAACGCGAGGCACACGGCAGCCACGGCCATGCCTGCCGCACAGGAGTAGAAGGCTCTGCTGTACATCCTACTGTGGTCCACCAGCAGACCTGGGAGGAAGCATTCACATGTTAGCACGTGGGCACACCTGCTCACCCGGGCTCCCCGCGCATCCAGAGCCCCTCGCTCCCCTTGCCTTCGTGGTCTTATCTTGTGTCTCTAAAGAAAAGAAAAAAGGGTGTTGAAGGTAGGAGTCTTTTCTAGGCTTGGGGCGGGGTGGAGAAATCAGTCTAACGTACAGCATGCTTATTAGCAGCTGAGATCATGGTGTCGCTAAAATGTCTTCGTGGGCTAATTGGTCCTTAGAGAGAATCTAAAACATGGGACTGTTAGATACATGCTTCTTTGAAAAGGTAATATTCTTAAGGGAGGAAAGAGCTCCATTATTTCCACCTGGGCTCATTTCAGGTGTCTTTTAACAAGGGGTAAGATTTCCAGGCACAATAACTTTAAGGATATTTCAGGTCTAAGACATGAAACATACCCATGTCCGTCCTACAAGGAAATAGTCTATAGCAATCAGCATTTAGCAGAGTGTTGCTCTGTGCTCTGACACCTTCCTAAGGAGGGAAGGTGTCAGGAGTCCCTTAGTTCTGTTGTTCCAAAAGTCAGAGGGTAATGAAGTCATACATCCATGGGTCCCCTGTAGCATTTATTTACAAGGCAAGGTGGTGGGAACGGCCCAGGCAGCTTGGGCTGCAAAGTGACCTGGTCACTGGTTTACCCTCTGACCATCGGCTCACAATCTTCGATCTTCAGTTTCCTCATATTTAAGTCAAGAGAGTTGCTCAGGTCATCTCTAATTCTACCAGCTCTGTAACTGTATGGAAGTAGTAAAATCAGTAGATGTTAAAACTAGACTTACACAGCTCAATTGATAAGGGAATAGTAAACATTACAGATTATATAATCTGTAGTACAGCGCCCACTTTATAATATAATATGACCTCCCTTTATAGCCTGGGAAACGATCTCCAGTCAGGTGCAGAAAGGCTACAGGTGTCCCACCTGTCCAGCTCGACATTTTAAAAGGGGGGGAGAGGACAGTAGACAAGGGTTTGGATTGTGTATTTAAATTACCGGCAAGGGGTGGTCCAGCTAGTGCTGCTAAGCTCTGGATGAAGACATAGACTCCAGCAGCAGAAGACATCTTCTCGATCCCCACAACATCATCTTCAGCGAGCAGTGGAATGTGGGTGCCCGCGACCGTTCCGATCATAACGCCGAAAAACACGCTACAGGACATTAAACCCCAGAATTCAGTAGCAAAAGTAAAGGCAAAGAGGGACACAGTCAACAAGACGACGAAGATGAGTTCAATGTAGATCTTACGGATGGGCTGGCTGTTGAGGACCAGACCAGCTCCAGTTCTCCCAAAAACCTCCGCGATTGCCATGGTCGATAACAGAAAAGCAGCTCGGTCCTCTTCGATGTTCAGACTGATGCCCAAGGGAATGATGTATAAGGAAGGGGCGAAGAATCCCAATGTTGCAAAGAGACCAAATAACGCGTAACAGATGAAACTTCTCTCTTTCAAGACTGAGAAGTCCAACAAGGGGCCTTTGTCGTCGCTGTGCTCGGAGCCGGTCTCTTCCAGGATCCGCTGCTCCACGTCGGCCTTCGGGTCCAGTTCCACGTTCGTGTGACTAGGCACGTTTCTAGGTGAGGTAGTTAGCTCTACTCCTGAGTCAATGGAATCGATTGAGGTGCGCGTTTTCTCGTTTTCAAGCATGTAATGTACTTCTTTTGGATTTTCGTGTCCCGTTACTTTCGGTGACCCTGGTCTTCTGATTATAATTGGCCTCAGCAACGCCCCGCAGATGACAATGTTCAACTGTAGTAGGCCCACGAGGAGGAGACTGGATCTCCAGCCGATGTTCTCCTTCAGAGCCGTGAATGCTGGGGTGGGCAGGGGGCAAGCAGAGGGGAGAGCAAGGTCAGACACCGACTCAAGACCCAGGAGGAAATACTGAGTAGAAATATGGATGTCGATTTAGAGTGAATGTTTGAAACAGTTTACTCAGGAGTAAACAGTCGACCTGTCCTATCCTTTACGTTTTGGTGCTTCTAGGAGAAAATGTGCATAATGACTATATATAACACAGCAGTTTTCAACCCCGGTCTCCAGAAGAGCTCCGGAGGGTACAGTTTTCCGGGGAGGGGCACAGAGGTGGAATACGTTTTTGACCTACAGCAAAGTTCAGGACACGGCGACTACATCTCATCGTGTGCCTCTGCTCGACAATGAAGCCCGACCAGAGCACAGCCATGCTCGTTCGTGTACCTAGTCTGGGGCTGCCTCTGCTGTGACCACTGAGTAGTTCTGACAGGGACTTCTGGTTCATGAAGCCGAGATATTTCCTCTCCGGCCTTTTAAAAATAGAACGCCCAACCTCAGAGCCGGAGCATTATCCTTCCAGTCATTCAGTCCTTAGTGGTAGTGCATTAAGCACAAAGTAAATGAAGAATCTGAACACTCAGTGGTTATCTCAGAATGAAGTGATACTTTGTGGAATGTCCCTAAGCACCTGAGTCGTCCTCCTTCCTGCGGTCAGTTGGGTGGGTCCTACGCTACTGACCAGAGGCAGCCTGGAGGGTGGGCTGGACACCAGAATGTGAGGGGGGCGGGGAGGGGAGGGAGGCCAAAGGGCGCACAGCCACAATAGGCCAATTCAGGCCCCACAGAATCTTAAAGGACCTTCATAATCATCCCCAAAGGTGAAATGATGTTCATTAGAACTTCATTTTTCTACAGTCTAATTCCTTGAGCACTGACAGTCAGGTATGAGAGACATGGGGACGATTCCCCAGAAGACAAGCTTTGTAGGACGCCCCACATTCCCGGGGCTCCACTTGCCTTTGTAGTGTATGTAGTGCTCACACTTGCTGTTTCCCCATTAATATGAAAAGGCTAGAATTGTAAAATATTTTTGGCAAGGGTATTTCAGGTGCTTTACATTCAGACGGCAATAACGGGTCTACTTTTCCTTTCTCCGATGTTTCTTGAGTCCTGTCAGGTGCCAGGGGTATGCCCAGAGCTAGGGACCAAAGCTGACCAACACGCCGTTGTCTATCTTTTGAGCACTCGGGCTACTGATTGAACCCTCAACATTTGATTTTGAAACAGTGAAAACAGGCAGAAAAGTGAAAAGAATGACACCAAATGTCTGCTGGTCCTCTACCTAAATTCAACAGTTAATATTTTCCCCTGTGTCTCTCTCTTTAATGCACTCATATTTTCATTTTTATGAACTATCGGAAAATCTTCAGACATTATGACATGCTACCCCCGAATACTTCTACATGTATCTCCTTTGAAGAAAGTGCAATCCACGGACACATCCATCGGAAACAGCAGAGTAAGGAATGAAGCTGGGTCTCCAAGGTTACCTATCACTTGTCAGTAATTCACAAGTTAACCTTAAGATAGGGAATTAAACCAGGGATAAAACGTCCACTGTGAGGTGACCCATACAAAGATAAAACCGACTTCATGGGCACAATGAAATGCTTGTCGAATCTGGCTCTTTTAGCATAGGAGAGAAATAGGAGGGACAACCTCAAATTGTTAAATCATTTATTTTGGAATGGATATGTGCCCTGTACTTCCTATTGGTGTAAACTTGGACTGGGATGAAAATGTTTGAATTCCTAACATAAGGGTGAGGGTGGCTAGATCCCAAAAACTGTGCCGGAGAAGAAAATACCCTTGTATTCTGCGCACAGTTACAGCCGTCCAGTGGCCAGCTACGGCCAGGTTAGTGCAGCAAGAATCGCTGAGTGGCTTCCCATTTCCCATGAATATACAGACTGTTGTGACCCACCTACCTGGTGCAAAAGCAAACATAGCAAAACATTCTCCTGTAGAAGCAACTGCAGTGACCATCGAACGTCTTTTGTCAAAGTACTGTGACAGAATAGTGAGAGATGGGAGGAAGCTAAAGCAGTATCCCAAACCTGCAAAAGTCAAAGAGAACAGTGAGAACCACACAGCTACTGACACCGGAAAGATGGAGTCAAAGACCTGGGGTTTTTGTGCTTATTTTTTAAATCATAAGTTCTGGGAGCCCAGTCATTAATTCTGGAAAAGGTGTTATAGCAGAGAAAATTGGATTTCATCCGAGGGCTAGAGAAGGTGCAACCGTTGTTTTGGATGCTAGGAGTATAAACACTGTTTTCTGTTTTGCATTTTTTTTTCACATATATACAATTCACAGTGGACATAACTCATAATGAATATAGTTTTTAGATATAAGACTTCTATTTGGAAATAACTGAGTTTTGATATGTGAAGAAATATATAAAAAATTTTAAGTGTGCAAAATAGCTATATACACACATATATATAAACATTTCATATCTATCTATGTTATATATATATGTGTATACATATTTCCAGAAATGTATGAACTCCTTTTAAAGTGAAAAGACGTTTCTCAGACCCCCAAGAATAACCCCATAGCTCGGCATCCTCAGACCCTGATGTGGGAAAGACTGGATAAAGAAATTAAAATCTTACTTTGTGACAATGATGTCTTTTTTATTTAATTTTTTTTTTTTTTTTTTGGCACGTGCCCCTAGTGGGAACCAAACCCGGGACTCTCTGGTCTGCAGGCTGATGCTCCAACCGCGGAGCCAAACTGGCCAGGGCCAATGATGTCTTTTGGTGACAAGCTACAGGAGTTGGCAAAAGTGCATTTACAGTTGTGAGTACACAAAACAGAATTTATTCTTATATCATTATTTATTAATTATTTTCCATATGAACAACTGTAAACCTCCTTTTGCCTACCCCTGTATTACCAAAGAGGTTTTCTTTCTCACTGGTAAATATTCAAAATGAGACACAAATTCTTGGGCATTGAGAACAGATTCTCATAGCCCCTGGAGTCCACACAGCCCCGTTCAAAACCCCTGGCCTGGGACACTATTTATTTGAAAGAAGAAAGGGAATGAGAGAAAGAAATACTACTTTGGAGTGAGTCCCTGCTTCCCTTCCTGGCCCTTCAAACTCAGTCTGGAAAACCTCTGAGCACAGAAAAATACTTACCAGAGATGATGCCAATTGAGATGTACATGTGGTACACCTGGCGGGAAAAGGAGGCCACCACCATCCCCGTGCTGACAAGCAGCCCTCCGGCCATCACCACCAGGCGGTGTCCGAAACGACTGCTCAGGACAGTGGACAGGGGAGCTGCATTGGAAAAGCGGAACAGGACACTGTAGCTCCCAGAGGGGTAGGTGTGTTAGTACAGTTCCTTCTTTCAAGTCTTGACCGTGGAAAGACAACATATAATATCTAACACATAAGCATTCGCTTCAATAAGATTCCCTCTCATGTGTCTTGAGCACGAAGAGACATGTACACTGTGTAACACATTTTACGCAGTGGTTACAGAAGTCAGTTCAGGGTTACAGTCGACCCTTGAACAACATGGGTTTGCACAGGGCAGGTCCACTTACATTCGAATTTTTCAAAATAAATGTACAGTTGGTCCTCTTTATCCCTGGGTTTTTGCATCTGCAGATGTAAGTAACTTCAGATCACTAACAGTATTTTCAGTCTGCCCTTGGGAGTCCACGCATGTGGGGGGCTGACCATGTGCGCTGCTCTGTGCCATTTTATTCATTTATTTATTTTTATTGACTTTTTAGGGAGAGGAAGGGAGAGAGAGACAGAAACATCGATGTGAGAGAGACACATCGAGTGGCTGCCACCCACACGACCCCAACTGAAGCCAGGGACAAACTGCAACCAAGGTACATGCCCTTAGTGAGAACCGAACCGGGCCTCTTCACGTAGCCACATTTTCATGTTTCCAACCTAAGCATGTTTTTGTGAGACCAGGGCCAGGAGGCCAAGCACTTCTGATGCTGCTTTTCAAAAAACAATTACATTCCCCACGGAACTGGGGGGTTACTGCTGTCCTTAAAGTAATTGACGGCATCCTAAGACTCTGCATACGGTAGGTGTCTACAGGTGTCTGTTAAATTGAAGGCTGTCCAGGCTGGCAATTAAGGCTCCCCTTCCTCCTTCAGCTCCTCTTTCTCTTGCCATCCTCAACCCCTTTAAAACTACTGCTTGAGGCCAGGGAGTGCCAAGAGGTCACAGAGGAAATGCATTACAAACACAAGGGATCCCATGACGTGGTTAGGCAAATTAAAATAAATAGTGTGGAAGGCGAAAGACGCACTAACCTGTAAATGTTAAGAAAAACACACATATCGATATTATCCATGAGATCCTACTATTAGATTCCTCAAAACTGTCCATTAAGTCATTAAAGAAGACACCAAATGACTTGATGACACCATAGGTAAAGACTTCAATGAAGAAAAAAGACACAGCTACTGCCCAGCCCCATCCTCCATCAGGCACTTGGGTATATACATTGGCTCTGGAACAAAGCTGTGATTTCTTCTCAGTCATTCTTAATCTGAAATGAAAAGTTCAAAAAATCAGAACAGCAACAGCAGGAGGGTTGGCGATTGTAATACTCTTTAGCAAACACCAGATAAGAACTACTTACTACACTTCTTAGCTTGATGAATATGTAAATCATGTGCAGTTAGTACAAAAGTCTTTGGATAATAAAAGATATAATGGAGCCCCCAAAGAATTTGGAAGTAAGACTTCCAAGCTGTGACAATTAAATGGGACCAACAAAAGCACCAGGGAAGATATGTGGAGGCAGTGTGAAGGTCAGAGAACAGCCAACTGCCCAAGCATCATGATGACCTTGACCTTGACAAGTTAGGTAAAGGAAAATGGCAGTCACCAAAGGACTGCTGATCAGAAATGAAACCTAGAAAAAGGCAGGCTAGGAGGCAAACATGTACCACCTTCCACGGGAATAGGCGCTCGAGATACCCTATATGTCTGTTTGTTTTTTATCCTCACCCGAGGACATTTTTACATGTATCTTCAGATAGAGTGGGAGGGAGAAAGGGAGGGAGAAAACATCGATGTGAGAGAGACACATTGGCTGCCACACACACGACCCCAATTGGGACCAAGGACAAACTGTAACCAAGGTACAGCGGGAACCGAACCGGGGTCTCTCTGGTCTGCAGGCCGGCGCTCTAACCACTGAACCAAACTGGCCAGGGCTACATCCTGTGCTCAATGCCTCTGACCGGATTACCCAGCTACCTCTCCTTGATCCCATTTCCCACTCAGTCTGCAACTTGATGACAATGATCGGCGCCCCATGTGGATGGACAGACATGGACAGAATGTAACTACAAATCCAGATGTGGTAACTGACTGCTGGGAGTTTGGCATGAGTAAGTTAGAAAGCTGATCAGCAGTTGGTACATTAGCCATTGATTTTCCATGCACACCACAAGGCTGCTGTAGAAGACAGTGGCCAACTAAGGCACTGCCAACTTGTGGGGCCCAGGCAGCCAGTTCACTTAACCTTGTATTATCCCTGAGCTCACTGGGCTTGCCATTCAAACTGCAGCCAACAAGCGGACCTGTACGCTGACACCACTAAGTGAGAGGAAACATTGTATTTAACACTGGAGGGAGCGTAGCTTCAGTTCTGCTCTGGGCTCTCTGCTGGGCGCTCACACGAACACTGGATTCCAAAGACTCTGCACATACTTTGCAACAGTGACGTGTGGTTTTAGCCCAACTAAAAACTAGTGTCTAAAATAATGAGTCCATGGTTTTAAGGTCTTAATGCTAACCCACCTTGCGTTGAATAATGCTCTACAATTACTTAGGGGTGTCAGGGTACAGGTCTGCTTGTTCTGACGTTTCGCTGCAGTTTGAATGGAAAGCCCAGTGAGGTCAGGGATAACGTAACATTAAGTGAATTTTGGTGGGGGCGGGGGGTTGTATCCTTTCCGTAGCCATAAAGTTGTGTTAAGCACAAAGGCAGGTTTTATCGATAAATGGAAAGCCATTGAAAAATAACAGGACACAACCTCATCATCCAGTGGATCTGCCAATTTCTGGTGTTAGGATCTAACAGTCTGAGTTCATTCTGTAAATGTCAGAAAGCAGCACCTCCGGCCCAAGTTAACACGGTTCCCCCTACTGACAGCACCATTCCCCCAGCAGCCTACTACTTTGAAAGGACTACCTGCTCGCTTTTACCCTGTTGCTGCTAAGTATCTGGCTGCATCACACAGAGCATACAATGCTTTAAGAAGCTTTACGAAGCCTTACGCTCCACGGCAAAGGCCTTCGCGCTTCCACGCGTGCGCGTGTCATTCCTGAGAGCAGTGGGAAGCCGGGAGGGCAGGGAAACAGCTCCAGATGTTGCTGGGAAGCTCCAGAGCACTGGTCATTCCTGTTTCCCATCCTGGGAAGCTCCTGCTTCGGGATGGAGCCCTGACCTGGGCCCTTCAGCAAATGCGGTTCTCGCTGTACCCCTCCCTCTTCAGACTTCCAGACCCACTCCCAGGGTGAGGCAGCTGGAGCAGGAGCAAGGGCAGCACTAGACTTAAGATCTAGAAGAGAGCCGTCATCCCTGGGGAGGAGGGCGGGAGGAAGCCACAGCCCAGTCCTCCGCCTTCACTCCCTCCCCTTCAGCCCCCTCCCAGGCCTGGTCTGGGCTCTTCCTTAGGAAGAGCCTCCTTTACTGGCCTCTTACTGGTTCCTCCCCTCCCCTATGGTTCATCTTTCTGGAACGTTGCATTGTTGCAACTTTTTTTTTTCTCACTAATGAACCTGACTTTCATTGTCTTTCAGAATTGAACCCCAGCCTGTTGAAGCCTTATTTCTGTCTGTTCTAAGACTTGACCCAGCTGCCGTGGCCAAAGTGCACACCTCCTTGCCCTCCAGGCTCTAACCACCTTGCCTGTGGCCACGCCCTTTCCCCAGGCTGGGTGCCCCTCTACAGCTAGCTCCTTCCAGGCCCGGTGCCATCAGAATCCATCTTCCTCGGTGCTTCCTCTGACTCAGTCTAAAGGGCTTTCTTCATGTGACAGATATCATTTAGTAATTGGGTATGGTTTCCTTTAATGAGTCTCTTATTTGGTCAATTGCATTTTAAGCTCCCAGAAAACAAAATCTGGGTTCTCTGTCTCTGTAGGTCACGTCCTCCTCCATTCCCAAGCACCTTGCACATAACTTTTACTTATTGTTTTCCAAAAAGTACCTACTAGTGCCAAGCCCAACGCTAGGCCTCGGGAATTCTGTAGTGAAAAGACAGAGGGGTCTCTGCCTCCATGGACTAAAATGTTTGCTGATGAGGAGGAGGAGGAGGAGACTGGAGACTGAAGTGCATGTGTGAAACCATTCAGCCACATCCTCCCAGAGTTCAACACACTCAGACACACAGAACTATCCACAGCTTCGATCGTTCTAACCTGGAAGATCTTAAGAGTCATCTTAGAGGGCTTAGGACTCACCTGGACATAAACACAGTGGGATAATAAAACAAAACATGTTGGAACAACATTGATGAGGGCCCAAAGAGACAAACTGAATCTCACGGCCTAAAACGACTCAGGAGGAAGGCAGGATCTTTTTGTTGGAGTGCATTTAGACCGCTAGGACTCACCGCACTTTCTGTACGAGGATGAGTTTATCTACCCATCGCCAGAAGCTTCTGCGTCCGGCCAACATTTCAGTTCTGGCGATGGGTGTACATTCCTCTCTGTGCCTGTCATGATCAGTGGTTTGCTTGTGCACACCTGGGGGGGGGGGGGGCATTAGGATTAGCTGGTAGTCCCAGAATGGAGTTGGACTTCCAGAATGTGAAAGCTGGAAGGGAATTTGGATCTCATCCTGTCAATCTCCTTGTTGTATAATGCTGTTCATTTTGCAAAATGGGAAAACTGAGCCCCAGAGAGGTGAAGGGACTTGACCAACATGGTCCGGAATGAAATCTGCTGCCTGGGCCCGGCTGTATCAGCAACCAGAACAGCATTTTAAAGGCCAAGAGGGGGTGTTTTATATAGAGATTGTGAAAAAACATTTTCTTTTTCCTCAAAAATAAAAGCTCCCTTGACTTCTGTGTGTCAAGGGAGAGGTCTGTGACCTGATGCGCCAGTTCACTGTGTGACCTTGCAAAGTCACTGCACCTCTCTGGGCCTGAGCTCCTCATTAGTCAAATCTTTAGTCAGAGATTTCCTGGAGAATCTTAAGGAACATTTTGGGATTCAGCACTGAGTTTTATTACAAGCCTGATTCCTCAGGCCAAAGCTGGGGCTCAAGGAAACCGGGAGCTAGGAAGAAGGGGCACATGCTAGATGCTCTTGGAAATGTGGGTGAAACGCAGCCGGACCTTGGAGGGACCTGATCAGCTAGTTAGAAGATGGCAGCATTTTGACTGCTCGACTCCTGTGCTTTCTGAGCCCCTTCAGGGTGTTTGATTCCTTTAATTTTTAAAAATTTGCTTTACATCTGTGCTACTGTCCTGAAGCTAGATCCAGATGTAAATTTCACCTGCATTCTTAGGTTTTTGGAGGACAGAAACCTTCTTGTTACTACGGGGATACCACAAAAAACAGATGACCCCCCCCCAGAACCCAGTCCTACTTTCAAGTTTATGACTTTATCATCCTAAAGCATGTTATGTGTCCTACTAAATTTAGCTTTGAAGACAAGACCACAGAATAGAATAACAGAGTAACCTGATTTCTAAAACATACTGCATCATAACTTCTGTATTTTGCACGCAGGATTACACAGGACAGGCACCTACAGGGTAGTCAGCGGCTTGTTCCAGACCAAGTGCCTGGCACACGTTTGAGTCTTGGGGTGCTCCTGAGCAACGCACCGCTCTGTCCTTAGAAAACCAAGTCAAGTGAGGAGGTCCCTGCTGGCAGAACTCCGCGCTTTCCTGCTCTGGGCTTTCTCCCACCCATTCGGCAGCCCCCTGGGTTACCAACCTGTCAGCCTCGACAAGCCAAGAAACCAAGGCCTGACTTCTGAACTCAGTTACTCAGAAGCCTCTCTAGATGCTTCCAGAATAGGGAAATACCTGTCCACTTCGGTTTTATGGTCATGCAAGTCTTCCTGATGAGAAGGAATATTAGTGTACTGTGTGGGGATCTAACCCGTGCGGCCAGTTGAATGACTGCGGTTTGGGGTGAATTACTCTGCTCCTGGATGGTCAGTGTCCTCATAGGTGAACAATACAGATGAACGAGATTCCAATGATCTCAGATCTCTTCCTGCCCTGAAAACCTGTAATTCCATGGTCGTCTTTGACCCTGATTTGCTCTAAGCCACCCTTTAATTTGTTTTCAACCTATGTTGAGTCCTTTGACGCAAAACCCACGGGTGTCTTTTTGAGGCCCATGGGCATGCATTATTTGTGAAATTGTTTACAATCTTGGGGAAATCACTTGGTCTCTAAACTCCATTATCTGTGAAAGTGGGGGGTCAGACATGGCAGTCTAAGATCCCCTCAACCGTCAAACTCTGTGATTCTGAACCAGGTTCCTGGCTATCATCTTGTCTCCACCCTAATGGTCTTCCAGAGGAAGGATAACAAAGTACTCTGGGCCGTTTGGAGTATCTCCTATGGCCATTTGGTTGTCTTAAACGTAAATAAATGAATAAATGAATATTCTGCCCAGGCTTGTTAGGCTGCTATGCCCGGGGATTTCACTGTGATTTGATTTGTTGAGAAAAGACTTGACCCCAAGGGCATGAAGAATGCAAAACACTGGATTATAATAAACCATCAGAGTGACAGTCCAGGGTCAGTTCAGAGTCAAGTTCAAAATGCAAGTTTTGGGTGGAAATGGCGTGGCCGCTGGTATAAGCAAAGCACTGCCACCATCCATTCTTCTTCAAGGCATAGCCTGGAATAACAGCTTTCGACCAGTTTCTCTCCCCAGTTGTCAAAATCAGTCTGTCTTTAGGTGAAGCGCATTTGAATTCTCTGTTAAAAACAACGCCACCACCAAACCTAACCTGTAGGGCTGCCTCAGCAGAATCACCGGATACAACCGATTCACCCATTTTACAAGATCATGATGTTGAAACCCGAGCCCCTAATTTAAGTGTCCTCCTCCGGAGTTCCACTGAGGAAAGTCCTCTTTGGGAAACCACAGAGGGAAAGCTCAGGGTTAGTGGTACTCATTAAGATAGAGGGAGCTTTTCCACTTGGCTGCATTGTTTATTTACATACTGTAACTCTCTACCTTGGCCGCCCTTCTCGTAGTTATGAGAAGAGGTATTTCTGTATCCGCCAGACAGGATGTATTGTTGACCCCAAAAATGTCACTTAATGGTGCTTGGGACATGGGGAGGTGCATCACTTAGAGATTTCAGCATAAGCACTTGGTATTTTTGGGCAAACAAATCACTCATTTTATTATGATTTGCAAAACAGTAAGATTGCTGGGAAATGTCACTCTCCAAGAGAGAAGCCCTCTTTGGGGAGAGCTGGCACGCGTGCCCGGCAGTGCACACACAACCAGCTTCCTGACAAGTTGCAGTTGCTCTTCCGCAGTTGGCTCTGGGGGAGCTTTTTCTAACACTCCGTGTTGGGTGACATTTTATATGCCACCTCACAAACTTCTATCACCTGTCTTTGGGGTTGGTGGGGGTTTCGTTTTCTGTTTGTTTTTAATTTAAAAGAAGAAAAGAAACCGAGAAGGAAATAACCCATTTCCTCTGTGAAATCATCCTCCCTCGCTACAGAACTTCAGCTTCAGGGGCGCTTTTCTGTGGTTGGCAGCTCAGGGAACCTTGGAAGTTGAGCGGAGCTGGCTTCAGCCACTGACAGGTCCGACCATCAAGGTGGGGGACCTGTGCTCTGCAGGGAAATGCCTGCCTTCCCCCAGGGGGGTGGGGGTCACGCTGACGCCCCGGAGTGAGCTGTGGGTGGGAGAGGCATGGAACCCACTTTCCCTCGCGCTGCCTCAGGGGCTGCCCCGCGTGCGCACTCGAGCCTAGGGAAGGTACCGCTGACATTTGGCACCTGGGGCGCGCAGGCAGCTTCATGCAGAAAATCCAAGCAGGCGCTTAACCCGGCGCCCCGGATTTGCCCCGCGGTCTAGAGCCCCTAATCCGGGGCTGGGCACACTCAAAGGCCAAGCGTGCCTTTAGGTGTTTTCCGGACCCAATCGTATTAGGGCCAAGATCATTCAACTCTCAGCTACCCACACCGGCGAGAGCGCTTCATCCCGGTGGCCCTGAGCATTCGCAACTGTCAGAGAATATTTTTCGGAATAACCTCTCCAAAATGTTAAGATGTTCACCGCTCGCCTCTGCCTCCCACCACCCACCCGGCAAAAAAAAAAAAAAAAAAAAGCTTCTAACACATTAAAATAAAAACCCACACCCCGTAATCAAAGTTTGAAACATGTAAAATAATAAAACCAACTCACCAAGTTAGAAGGGCAGAGAATAAACCCCACAGGCTCCCAATAAGGCGTAGGCTTGGCCTCCCCTCCTTATAAGCCGCTGGGTAACATGAGAAAGGTTTAACTCCTTAGGGCGTGGGCCCGAGCCTATGGCAAGTTGGTTCAGGAGAGTGTCACCGGCGCCCGCCCGCAGCGCCCCGCCCCGGCGACCCACCTACTCCCGCGCTTGGGGCACCCCGGCCGCATCCTCCCCCCCGCCCCCCACCCGCCGGCACCCGGGTTTGCGTGCTGCTGCCCGCCTCCCGTCCCCGCGTCGCTGCCTCTCTCTGATCCTATACCGGCTGCAGCCGGTCTCTGCCGGCCTCGGGGGCGCGCCGCCGCCGACCATGTGCTGCGAGCGCCGCGGAGGAGGGGGCCTGCCTGGAGCGCGCGCGCCGGCCCACGTGTACCCGGTCCGCACCGGGCGCGCGCCCGTCCTGAGCCAAGCCGGGGGTCACGGAAGGTAACGGCATTGCTGTCCCGCGCCCGGCCACTCCCGCCAACGCCGCCGGGGTCCTGGGCGCGCCGCCAAAACCCCGCGCGGCTTTGCGCGCCTGGCCCGAGCAGACCCCAGCGCCTCGCCGCACCGTTAGTGGGGACCGCGGACTTGTTTGGGGGCGTCTGCACCCTTTCTGCCAGCACTCCCTGACCGTCTTCCTCCTCCCAGCTCCTCCGCACTTCCAGTCCCACCCGCGTCCTGAGGATTTGGGGTGTGGGATGAGGGTCGCCGGCGATGGTCTCCGGCGGCCGTAGCGGTTCCGCGGGCAGAACAGGTTCTTTCCAGTTTGAGCGTGAGCTGCGCGCGCCGCGCCACAGCCCCCAAGTTCCTTCTCCAGGGCCAACTTCCCCAATTTCGTCAACTCGTGCACACGACAATTCCCGTTCCGGAAGGGGGTAAGGAGTGCCGCAGTGGCCCCGGCGGCCGCGGGTGTCCCGCTGTCCCCCTTTCCTGCAGCAGCAGCAGCGGCGGCATCCGCGTTGAGCGAAGGGATGCGAGCAGCCCGGCTGAGTCAGCATCCCCGGCCGGGGGCGCACGCGTACGGTCTCCGGCGGGAGCCGAAGTTCACACAGGTGCACGGCTGCCTAGCCTGCGGGGCGCCCCCGGAGCAGAGGGACCCGGGCGTTTAGGGAGTCCGTGCCCCTCATCCCGAAGTTCCCGACCCCAAAGGCACCGTGAATTCAGCAGATACTGCACTGGAAACCTCAGTCACGAACCCTCCTAGGGACAAAGCAGAGGTCGGGTCTCAGGCGTTTCGGAGCCCGCGGGGGCGCAGACCGTGTTTCCTGGTGCCCACCTCAGATCCCCAGGGCCCATTTGGCACCTGCTTGGGGGGGGGGGAGGCAGAGGCCTTATTCCCCGCATTTCCCTGCCGTCTTGGTACGGGCTGCTCTCTTCCTTGGGGTTCGGATATTGTGGCTGTGATGTCCAACTCCAGAGACCCTACTCAGCGAATGCGCGCATGGAGGGTCTCCACCAGGAGGGATGGGCCCGGTGAATTTTGATAAAAACGCCTCTTTGCTCGCTGTCTGCTTTTCCTCATGATTTGGGGGAAGTGTGTACAAGGTTAAATGCCTTTCTGTGCTGTCAGTAACTCCGGAGAGGGTTAGGTGGGGGCAGGTGTGCTGGTGTAGAATGCTGGTGGAGCCATAAGCTAGGGGCTGCGGATTATCTTTTCAACCTTGTGGGAGTAACTAAACTTCTTAGAGCGTCAACTTCCAAATCTATAAAATGGGGACAATGGTTGGTGGTGCTCCCAGAATTGAAAACTTGAATTTATGATGCCTGTAAAGTTCAGATCAAAGTGACTGGCATCTGGCTAGCCTGCCGTACCCATTAGTTCTCATTGTTTTATTTTTTTATGGCTCACCAAGTCCAATGACTCCTCACACACCCTGTTCCCACAGCATGTGGGAACTGATTGCAGTCCCTAAAATGAAAACCCTTCGTGCCAAAGTGGGACAGACTGCAAGTGTAATCTTTGATATTTAGGATCTTACTGAGCATTGGGTCCTGCCACTGTATTCAGTGTGGAAATGTCGTGTTTACTATGACACAGCATCCAGTACGTCTGAGTCTTGCTTATGAGCCTAGTGGTGCAGCCCAGCAGTTACAACTGAGTGAGTCCAAGCAAGTCAGGAGAGGTCTTGGCGCATCAGCTTCTGGATTTTAAACAGAAGAAAGGTGGCTGAGGGGAATGCATGACTGGGAAAGTCACGTCTGAGTACTTGACCAGCTGGCTGTTGGGGGGACAGAACTGTAATAATACAATAATAATCATGCATGCTCACTATTATTTTTCCTAATGTTATAAGTAACTTTCACAGGTTTGCTTTCCCCCCAACATTTTATTAAGTGCCTTACATGTGACCCAGTTTTGACCCCATCCTCAGACTTAGGCAGCTGACACGCATCCCCATTTCCTAGATGAGAACTGTCGAGGCGGGGAGCTCCGGAGGGACTTGCCCCAGGTTTCTCAGCATTTACACGTGCTGGCCCACTTTGCAAACAGAGCTCATCTAGAGATTACGTGTGCCACCCGTGTTGGGTAGCGCAGCGTTGGCTGAAAGACTCGGCCCTGCCGGCCACAAGCCAATGACTTGTGCCTGGTCAGGGGCTGCCTTCACCTTGTTCCCTCAGTCCTAGTGAGACCAAGCATGAAAACCCCTGCTTATTCCGCTCCTCCAGGGACAGCGAAGAGAGGAAAAACATTGCATTGCCATGGTGATCACCTCCCCAAACAAAACTACCTCTGTTTAGTTCTAAATCCGAACAAAAGAACCTTTGGAGTCTGGAGTAGAGAACCAGAAAAATCATGAAATTAAGTCAGGGGTTCCTCTCCCCGCTTAGCCTCTTCTATTGTGTCTGTGGCAGCTGAGCCCCTTGGCCCTGTACTTGCAGTGGGCAGGGCTGAAATGATGCCCTGAAAAAGTCCCTCCGCATCTTCTCTGGAAATCAACGGGCTCGGAGAGCCATCCCTACTGTTCTCTTTCCTAGTCGTCTCACTTAGGGGCATTTGCATGAAAACAGATTCTTTGTACAAAGCTGGCCTGCCTGTTCTCTGTCAACATTTATAGAACTTCTGGTCTTCATGTTGGATTGCCAGGCAGATATGACCCTGGCTTGCAAATAAGCTCACTGCATTTACCAGCCCGTGAGAACTTCAACTTTGGGTAAGTAGATTGAAAGGAATCTTGTCTGGAGCTCAGAGGGGGAGCAAGCCTGTTTTGGAGGGCTGGGTGTTCAGAGCAGCCACTGAAGAGGGGGAGCGTTTGAGGGGCCTTCAGCAGGAGTACTTGACTGCCCTGAACATCACCTCTTTCTTGAACTTGACTGACTGTCAGAATGCACAGTGGCTCGGGCCTGGTGCGCCATTAGCCTGGCACAGCTACGGGCCTTCCCTGCTTGACCAGAGCCAGGAGGGCATCCGGGTGACCTGCTCCACCTGTGAGGCCTTGGGGAGAACACTGAAGTAGTATGTCAGGGAAACCGCCTTTCCTCAACTCAAGATGTACCCCCCCCCCATCCATCTTGTTAAAGATGCATTTCCAATAAACCTGTCTTATGCTTACTAATTTATAAGAATTATGTTTTAGTTTCAATTAGTACAGTAATAATTGTGATACTAACTCACTTCAGAAGGGATTTAAAAAAAATACTTGGAGTAAAGTAAAATATTAAATTTCAACTTATATACAGTATCTGTTTCAGAGGAACAGGATAAGGTAATTAAATACTTTTGAACATAAAAGTACATTGTATTGAGATAGAATGGAAGTAGAGTTTTGAAAAAAGGAAAAATGATCTAAAATTTTTGAACTAATGGGAAGTGTTGTCATGTAATTTCTAAATGGATGTTGGTGGTTTTCAAATTCCTCTGGTGTTCATATTACCCTTGATACATTTAAAAGAGTGAGTTAAGAATTCTACTAGACCCGGTTGGTGGGGCTCGGTGGTTGAGCATCGACCTATGCACCAAGAGGTCGCTGGTTCGATTCCCAGTCATGGCACGTGCCCAGGTTGTGGGCCTGATCCTTAGTGGGGGGCATGCAAGAGGCGGCCAGTCGATGTTCTCTCTCATCAATGTTTCTCTCTTCTTCTCCCTTCCTCTCTAACATCAATAAAGGAAAGGAAAAAAAAGAATTTTACTAGAAATGTAACATTTACAAATGCAATTGAAAGGAGATATTTTGCAGCTATTTAAGTTAGGATGAAACACTGAAGATAACTTAGAAATTGTATGAGGGTAGTGTGGGCTGAATATTGGCTCTCGCTCCGCCCCCCCCCCCCCCATCTCCAAATCCATAGGTTGAAGCCCTAACCCCCAATGTGATGGTATTTGTAAATGAGGCTTTGGGGAGGAATGAGGATTAGATGAGGTCATGAGGTTGGGGCCCTTATGCTTAGATCTGTGCCTTTATAAGAAGAGGAAGGAAGAAATCCCTTTTTCTGAGCACACACGGGGGGTGGGGGGGCAAGGTCATGTGAGGACACAGCCAGAAGGCAGCTGTCTGCAAGCCAGGAGGAGAGCCCTCCCCAGAACCTCTCCATACTGGCATCCTGATTTCAGACTTCCGGCCTCAGAACTGTGAAGAAGTCTGTTGTTTAAGCCACCCAGCCTGTGTTACTTTGTTACCGCAGCCTGAGCTGAGGAATACAGAGGGTGTTTCATGTCTTTCCACATTCTTTTTCCTTTTTTTTCTTTATTGATTTCAGAGAGAGAGGAAGGGAGAGGGAGAGAGAGAGAGAGAGAAACGTTGATGAGAGAGAACATGGATTGGCTGCCTCCTGCATGCCCCCCACTGGGGATCAGGCCCACAACTGGGCATGTGCCCTGGCCGGGAATTGAACCGGTGACCTCTTGATGCATGGGTCGACTCTCAACCACTGAGCCACATCGGCAGGGCTCCAAATTCTTTTAGAGCATACTTAAGCAAAAAACTGCAGGTCACCGAGTATGGTCCATTATTAATATGAAGATAAGAAAGATGAACCTGACCTTGAATCCCAGTTCTACCCTCACCAGCCAGGTCACCTCCGCTCTCAGAGATAATACCTGCTGCATGGGCGGGAACGGGGGGAGCTGAACCCTGGGTGGCTGACTGAGTTAATGTGCCTGTGTAAGGAGTTTAGCAGCTTAGCCCTGTGCTTGGATCACTGAGGCTCGGGAACTCTTGGCTGGGAGGTTGAGGAGGGCGGAGATCAGTGGAACCTAGAAAGGCAGGGAAGAACTTGCAAGGGGTGGCCAGGGGGAGGAGTGGGGGGTGAACCAGGCGAGAGGCAGGCAGGGGGTAAGAGAGCATGCTGGATTTGGGGACAGGGAGGAGAGGGTGGCGATCTGGCTTCTGTTACACCTGGGTGTGTGTCGTTCACTCTGCAGTTAAGTTTTGTTTGATTTCAACACTGATATTTGTTCCCAGACATCTCAGTACTCAGAGTTGACTGCTCCTCTCACTACTTAAAAAGAAAAAAAGAAAAAAAAGAACATTCCTTGAGGAGGCATCTATAAACTCTCCCGCACCTGTCAGAGAAGTCCTCAACACAAACCAAGCAAACATCGAAATTTTCAGAGCCGAGTGGTATGCATCGCACTGGTTTTAGGACAAATACACGTCATACTCAACTTCCATGCGCAGTGGCAGGTTGCGAACTCACTGGGAATACTGGGAAGTGCTGTGCGTGTGACTATCGGGTTTGGCCCCGATTCCATCAGGCTTTTTGGGGTAATGTTTGGCGTTGCCCCACCCATCATGTCCCTCAAGGCCCAGGAGTTAGAAACCTGCTCTCCAGCCGTGTCCCTTGCCAAAGGGAGATGCTGGCTTGCCCATCGTGTCCGAACACGCAGCCTGCCCTGCTGTTCCTGGGACGATACACAGCGTGAGGTTTCTCCTTGGACTCTTGGAGCAGTTCAGTCTCATTTCCAGATGAATGGGGTGG